ATAAAATTTTTTCTAAAAACATCATTCATATTTTTTTCACCAAAGTTTGAAAATATTTGTGCATGAAAGAACATGTGTAACCAACTGAGTAACCATGAATACATGATATACTTATATTTTTGTGTAATTATGATTATGTGTAATTATTGTGTTCTTTACATATTTTATAATGTTCTTTATTAGAATACATAATATACTTTATATTTGTTTGTAACATATAATAAATTATTAATACTATTTGTATTCCATATGTCTACCATTATAATATATAATAATCTTTATTAGATCTTTTAATAAAATATTTTAAATGTCCATGTTTTTTTATTGTAATTGTAATGTACTTTGATTGTCATAAAATGTTCATTGCTTATAATGAAAATGTTCTTTAAATTTAGTCCCTACGCCATACTAGTTAAATTTAAACGGGATAATTCAAACAATGTTATTACAGTTTCTTCATGTTCTTTATTAATATTATGGATGTTCTTTGGATCTAAAAATCAATCATCAATAGATGATGTCCAAAAAGAATATCTCGTCAATCTTCATGATCTTGAATTAAAAAAATTCACAATTATTAAATGTTAATTAATAAAGAAAAATATTGAATTAATAAATAATATTTAAGATGAATACACTAATAATTAAAAATGACTTTACAAACTAATTTTAAAATGACATATGCTATACCAAAAAAATGTGCATCACTCAATCCCTCAAAGAACATATGAACCAAAATCAAAGAACATTAGGGATAAAATAAAGAACATAAGTGATGTAACAACAGAAAAAATATATAAGGAGTAAAACATCTTAGAAATTAAACCCAAAAGGACATAAGAGTTAAAACAAAAAACATAAACATAGAAGAACATATTATTCAAATAAAAAGAACATTATACCTTAAAGAACATAGTTTGTATTGTAAAGAACATATAATTTAGATTCAAAGAACATATTAATCAGATTTAAAGAGAATATTCCATTATAATTAACAAAATGAATATAGATCAAATAAATGATGAAAAGAACATTTATTATAATTAGGAAAAATTCATGGGAATAATCCCACGTTTGGGCCATTCGTTTTTAATGATCCCACCTTTGAGATATTATTTAATAATCCAACCTTTACCCCCCATTCTTTTTTAATGGTCCTATTTTACCAGAAACCGGTTAAATAGGTAATTTTTTTTTAAAAAAGATTAATTTACACGTGTCATTACATAACTGGTCAAAAAAAAAAAATTTAAAAACCCAAACCCAATTCAGCCACCACCATCCCCACCACCACCCAAACCCAAACCCTAGAACCACCATCCCCACTAGACCCAAACCCCAAAACCAACCCACCAGCCAACGCCGGTGCCGCTCAACCACTCTCACCGCACCCTTTCCTCATTCCAACCACCCTTCCCTGCACTCCGTTCCCTTATTCCTCCCTTTTCCGAACACCCAATCCCCTGCTATAATTCGGCCGCCTTACCCACGAACTAGCCCTACCCACCTAACCTAAACCTGGCAAATGGGTCATTCAAGTCGGGTATGGGTCGGGTCATTTCGGGTCAAAAATTTATCGGATCAAGTTCGGGTCGGGTCGGGTCATTTCGGGTTTCGGGTTGAGTTCGGGTCAACAGATAATCGGGTCGGGTCGGGTATCGGGTCAACACTTCGGGCCATTTTAATTTCTCTCTATAATTTTCTCTGTATTTCAAAATTGTAATTATATCTCACCAAAAATATAAAATCTAATTCTGAAAAATTAATGTGGAAAATAACTAACAAATTCCTTAAATTAGGAGAGAATTATTTTGATTTTTTTTATTGATTAAAAGTCGAAAAATACTGTTATTTTCAGCAAGATGTACCATGAGCATGGTACACCCTTGTGTACTATGTAAATTTCACCATTTTTCCTCTCTTTCTTTCTCTCTGTTGCATGTGATTGAATTTCTTTTTAATATTTGTGAGACATTTGCAAATGCCGCACAATCCTATAATAATTCTTCCTCCGAGTGGCATCATATTATTCATATCTTAGAGAACATATATATGTTATCCCCAAAATGATTTTAAATTTAAATAATATTATAATGTTCTTTTACTTTATACCTCATCCATCGGTTTTATTTACTTACTACACAACACTTCTTATTTCATGTTTGTCAATGTGTTATTTCAAATACTACCTCAATTGCATATTAGTTACAACTTTGAAATATTTTATCTCACAAATAATACTCAAAGTTGCAATAATATGTAATGGAGGTAGTACTACCATCTTGTATTATTGCCGATATGTAAAAATTATAAAAATTTGATAATATTAAATTTAACAAAGAACCAATTTACTATGTATACCCTTTTGTCAAAATGGAGTATACATGCAAAGTATAAAAGTCAAAGTTTTGCAAGTAAAAAAACAGAGTAAATATTCTTTGAATTATACTTAATTACTTAATTTATATTTATTTCATTGTAAAATACTACTTCTATTTTATATTAATTGCAACGATTAAACATTTTCTACTCATATTTTTTGTAAAATCGTGGCAAATAATTTAAAACGGAGCATGTCATTTTGTACGTGAATATTAAGGACTCGTTTGGTTGCCATGGGAATTTGATGTGGATTGCTAAACACCGCCGACAAAATTTATCACCACCGTCAACATTTGGTGTGAATGGACAATCATGCCCTTATTACTTTACCACCCAAATCCTTTCCGGCGACCCACCACCCCTTTCGACCGACAACGACCACCTCCCACTCGCTAGCGACCCACCAAATCCATCTCAACGACAACCAACCACCTTACCTCGCCGGCGGAAAAGTGGTGGATTTTTTTTTTTAATTTGTTTTTTTTTTTTTGCAACCAAACTAACCGGCGTTGAAACCAATCACTGGGCATGATAACCGGTTTTTACCGCCAGTTACCGTGGTCAGCTGGCGTTGGAAACTGATTACCAGGCACCAATTTTTTATGCCGGTTACCTTGGGCAACCGCCGCTTGAAACCGGTTACCGAAATAAGTGTTATTCTTATAAACTAATGTGGTCACAGTGGCGGTTGACCATAGTAACCGGTGTCTCAAACCGGTTACCATCCCGAGTGACCAAGGTGGTGAGCGCCGAAGATTTTTTTAAAAAAAATTGGAGGTGACGAATTGATTTTGTCGGCCACGTACCGTAATGCCAGCTCATCAACTCCGATCGTCGTCGTTGCTACCCTTCCACCTCCGATGTACGGTTACCGCTTCCCTTCACCTCCGACATACAACCGCTATTGTGGTTGGTGGTGGTTGGGAAATGGTGGTTGTGTCCTTATGAGTGATGAGATAGAAAAAAAAAGAGAAAGAAGAAGATGGGTTATTGGGTATGTAAGGGTATTGATGTCCATGTCCATTCATCTTAAATGTTGGCGAATGTGATAAAAATTGATGGCGATGTTTAACACCCCCCAATTAAATCCTAGTGAGAAATTACAATTCATGGGAATTCACTTCCCTTATAAAATCCCTAGGAAATGAGTTTGGGATGTTTAGTTGACATTTAGGAACTCAAACTTCCCGTGAAGTAATTTCATGAGCTTTATTTGATTTCGATCTTCACTTGTAATTAGCTACTTTCTCAATATTTATAATTTTTTTAATAACAAATAATATATATATATATATATATATATATATATATATATATATATATATATATATATATAACTCAATTAAAGATATATTTTTAAATTGATTTAAAAAAAAAAAAAGATCAAACATTATTCACATTAAAGCATAAGAGTATAAACTCATTCAATTCAAAAAAAAAAAAAAAAAAATAAATCATAGGATTTCTTGAACTCACTATCAATGAACTAATATCATCATATTCATCAATACATCTTTTACCAAAATTAAAATCTACTTCGTCTGTGACTATATTGATCTACAAGCCTGCATTTAATATCTACACAAATGATGAAGATTGTATTTGAGAATGGTAACAACAACTAAAAAAAAAAAGTTTAACTTTTGCACATCTGCAATCCAATTAAGGAGATAGAAATTGCATAACCTACCAAAGAAAATATACGGAGTAGAAAAATGGAGGAGGAAATACGGCCGAAATGGTTTAGCACAAAGAAGATATGTTTTTTTGTCCCCTAATAATCACAGGATGTAGACTTATTTAGGGGGGAGTTGTTAATTGATTTCCCATAATCCATGGGAAGTTCTAAATCCTGCGAATTTTAATTTCCCCCATTTTCTAAATTTTGTGACAATCAAACATCAACTATTCAACTCATACAAGCATTTTCTGGGAAATCTGAGTTCTCCATTATTCCCTACCAACCAAACAAGCACTAAATACTTCGTATGTCATTTGGGTTCAAACTATATAGTATATACTATGTATACGCTATTGTTTTAATTTTATTTTAATTTTTGTCTATTTTAATGTTTTTTTAAAAGTTTATGTTCTTTTGGTTTATCTTTTTTGTTCCTTGATTTTCATTTATACTTTTTAAAATTTGGTCTTTATATTTTTCTAGTGCGTAAAACCATCATTAGACACAAAGTAGCTAGGTTGCATAAAAACAGGCAAGGACACAGATATGGGTACAAAACGGATACGAGAAAATGTCAATCTCAAAACAAAGGACACGAATACGCCATGTTTTAATCCATATAATGTATTCTAAAAAAAGAATTTGAGAATTTATTCAATAATTAATTCACTACAAATAATCTAGAATCAAAATATATTATGCTTTCACATTGATCTCTTTCCCTATCTAAGTCTATATTGTCATACGGTCCTCTTATTGGATCACACCACAATATCATATTTACAGTATCTTAGTACTCTTTTTGTTCATACTCATAATGTGCTATGAAAATGCCCATATTATAAACTCTTATCTTGTTCTCTCTTACTTTACTTTGATTTCTAATTAAAAAAGTTAAAAAGATGAGGTGGTGTGTCAAAAAGAAGAACGGGTCGTATCATAGTAGGACACTTCGGTCTCAAAGTGTCTGAAAATAATTAAAAACTGAAAATGATTTTTTACGTTCCAATAATATTGCAACAAGGTTGAAATTACGCATCCCAATGCATATATCCGAAAACATTCAACTATCTAATAAGTAATTGGAATACTACGAAGAACGATAGTTTCAATAGTAATGCCAGGACCAAAGGCAACAAGCACACCCCATTCAGACCCTTCCCCAGTAGTTGCTTTGCCCTCTTTCAATGACCTCTTCCTCATCTCATCCATTACGAATATCACACTTGCACCCCACATATTCCCGTACTCACTTAATATGTGCCTACTACTACTCAGCTTACTCGTCTCGAGTTCGAGTTTGGCTTCCACCTTGTCCAATATTGCTGGTCCTCCAGGGTGAGCGACCCAAAAAATGGAATTCCAATCACTAATCCCAATATGATCAAATGATTCATTTAAGGAAGTTTCAATGTTATTGGCTATGATTTTGGGGACATCCGGACTTAAGTAAATGGTCATCCCAATCTCACTAAGGCGAGCTTGTATAGCATGTTCTGAATCTGGCAATGTAGTCTGCCCCGCCGAAACAAGCTGAAAGAGGGGTCGCTCACTAGGCTCTTCAGGATCAGTACCCACGATCATTGCCCCCGCGCCATCTCCAAATAAGGCAAGTGACACTAGGTGGGTCTCGCTTGGGGCATGGAAACTAATGGCAGTACTCTCCGAGCAAATAACCAGTACACGGGCACCACGATTGTTCTCAGCAATGTCCTTGGCTATACGAAGGATTGTACTGCAAGCATGACAAGCACCTTGGCGCAGTATAAACCTCTTCACTGTAGGCTGGAGGCCGAGAAGCTTGGCTAGCCAGAAGTCGGCCCCGGGTACATCGAAGTCCGAGTTAGTGCCAAAGATAAGATGGGTGATCATGGACTTGGATTTTCCCCACTCTTTTATGGCTTCCTCAGCTGCCTCTTTCCCAAGTTTGGGAATCTCATTGGCTAATAGAGCTTGACGAGTTTTAACGGAAGAAGCATTATTATCACTTATATGTGGATTTTCTTTTAAGATCTCTTCTGTTGAGCCTTTTGATTTTGATGGACAAATTGACAAACTCGACTAATGAATGTTTTGAGTCTTTGGTGAATAAAGGGTTCAAGCAAAGTTCGTTCCGGAGTAGGAACTTGGATGCGGAGTAGCATTCTTTAAAAAGCCTCGTGCAAATCTCACGTTCTAGTTTTAATTGTGAGCACTCAATAATATAAAGTCGGAAAGGAACTCAATGACTTATGTTAAAGACTACTGGAATAAAAGTTAGTTTTAAAAGATAATTTCTTAAAGAAAAGATAATTTGTAAAAGTTTTAATAAAGATAATTATCGAAGATAATTATCTAGTTGTTTTAATAAATAATAAATTTATCTTTTCAAATAAAATCTTTTTAAACAAACTTTTGATAATCTTTTAAATAAATATTTGATAAAGTTAGCAAGTGGTTTTTCTGTGAGAAAATCTTTTATACGGCTAATGGTTATCAAGTTGTTAGGATAGTGGTTTAATTAGATAAGGCTAGGAAACCTCTTCATGATCACAATCTGTCAAGATAACTCCACAAGTTGTTAGTGGGTTGTTGACATGTGGACGTGATTATGGTGGAGGTTAATGACTAAGCCTTCTCTATAAATACTCATGCAAACTATCTCAGAAAAACATAACTCTTGAGCATAAAAATTCCAGTAGCCATCTAATAACATAAAGAGAGTTATTTTCCTTCATATATTCTTGAGTGCAATAGGTATTTGTAATCACAGATTGTATTCAAGTACTTAGGGGTTGGGATTGTGAGTTTGTAAAGTGAGGTCAAGGAAGCTTCGTTGCTGAAGTCTTCTGTGAGAGTTGGGAACAAGTTCCTAATTTGTGGAACTTGTTAACGGGTTTGAATCTTCACTTGTAAAGAGTTTGATTACTTAGTGGAAATTTAGAAAAGCCTATATCTTCTCTCGTCACTATTTCATTTAGTTAAATTCCGCAAAAAGTTTTTAGATTTCACCTCAAATACAATTCACCCCCCCTCTTGTATTAGCCAGTTAGACTTTCAGTTGGTATCAGAGCAGGAACTCAGAACACGCAGGCAACCCTGTTGAGTAAGTTCCTGGAAAATGGCTTACACAGAGGAAAAGGAATTCGGGAGTACATCCATTCAAAGGCCTCCATACTTCAACGGCAAATTTTATCCTTATTGGAAGGATAAGATGGAAATCTTTATCCAAGCAGAGAATTATCAGGTATGGCGAATTATACAAGTAGGAGATTACGAAATTACGAAAACGAATGCTAATAATGAGGTAATCCCTAAACCTATGGATGAGTATGAAAAAACTGATTTTGAAAAACTTGAAATGAATGCTACTGCCAAAAAGTTTTTAATTTGGGGACTTGGACCCGATGAACATACTCGTGTCAAAGGGTGCAAGTCCGCAAAGGAAATTTGGGATCTTCTGGAAGTTACACATGAAGGAACGTCAGATGTTAAACGTTCCAAAATAGACATTCTTTTGTCTCAGTATGAGCGCTTTGAAATGGGAAACAAAGAATCCATTAAAGACATGTTTACTCGATTTAAAGGTATTACTAACGAACTAACGTGTCTTGGCAAGATAATTCCTATAGATGAGCAGGTCAGAAAAGTCTTAAGAAGTCTTCCAGACAATGACAGATGGAGAGCAAAGGTTGCAGCGGTGCAGGAATCAAAAGACTTCACCAAGTTCAATCTGGAACATCTTGCGGGTTCCCTCATTACTCACGAGATCCAGTCGAACAATCGGACTCAGGAGACTGTCAAAAGTCAAGGGCTAGCATTAAGAGCTAATGAAGAATCCGAAGAGAAGTCTGACATCGATGAAGAAGAAGCTGCAATGTTGGTGAGAAGGCTGAAAAAATTCTACCGTAACAACAAGTTTTTAGACAAGAAGAAAGGATACAGTAAAAGAAATCAGGAACCCAAAGCCAAGTCTTCTTGTCACAAATGTGGAAGCACCAACCACTTCATCAAAGAGTGTCCATTATGGGAATCTGAGAAAGGCAAGGGAAAAGAAGCTGATCAAAGCAGAAATTCCAAGCCTAACTTTTCTAAAACAAATTTCAGGAAAGCAATGATTTCCACGTGGGGAGAATCAAGTTCCGAAGAAGAGGAACAGGAACACACAGACGATGAAGTAGCCAATCTCTGTCTAATGGCAAAGCATGATGATGAGGTAGTCATTCAACCTAATTATTTGAAATCTCTCTCAAAGGATAAATTAATCTCTTTATTGTTAGAAACCTTAGATGAATATAAAGAATTATGTGCAAAACTAAGGCAAGCCGAAAAGGCAACTGGAATTTGTAGAGATCATGTTAAGTATCTGAATAGCTTAAGAAATGATGTTCAAGGCAGATTCTTTGAATTGTTAGATAAAAATATTATGCTAAAAGAATCCCTTGAAAGAGTCAAGAGTGAGAATATCATGCTGAATATTGAATTGACTCAATATAAAATGTTGTGTACTAACATTGATTCTTGCAGGTCTACTGAAGTTCCTTTAATCATGTTTAATAATGAACTAGAGCATGTTAAGAAAGAGATAAAGGAAACCAATGATAAAAATGAGAAACTAGAAAAGGACCTAGAAATTGCAAGAAAAAGTAAAAATACAGCAAGCACGGGTGTTCCCAAGTGGGTAAAGGAAGCTCAGACAAAAAGAACAGAAGGTCTAGGCTATGTTCATAAGAAGAAGTCCACTGGAAAGAAAAAGAAATATGTGAACTTACCTAGTGAGACCGTTTGTTCTTTCTGTGGTAAAAAGGAACATCGCAGTGAAGAATGTACTAAGAAAGCAAATCTGTACAATAAGAATGTGAATTATGTTTGGCAGAAGAAATCTGATTTAAATGTGTCAACACAGGAACCCATGAATGAAAGGGTTCCTACTACTAACTCTTAATTTCTTTTGCAGGTCGAAGTGAGGGGGAACAACCAGTGGTACCTCGATAGCGGTTGTTCTAAGCACATGACAGGAGATGAATCCAGATTTCTCTCACTGACGGCCTATACAGGGGGAACAGTGACCTTTGGAGACAATAAGAAAGGCAACATTGTTGCTGTTGGAAAAGTAGGAAGGTCAAGTTCCCATGCAATTGACAATGTATTTTTAGTCGAGGGTTTGAAGCATAATCTACTCAGTATTTCTCAGTTTTGTGATAAAGGAAACTTTGTAAGCTTTTCTTCTGAAAAATGCAAAATCATCAACAATAACACTGGTAAAATCGTTTTGGAAGGAACTCGTAAAGGGAACACATATACCGTGGACCTTAACAAAGTTCCAAAATACAATCTATCTTGTTTAAGTGTTATTGAGGATGATCCACTTCTATGGCATAAACGTTTTGGACATGCTAGTCTTTCATTGCTTGACAAATTAAGGTCAAAGGACTTGGTAATCGGATTACCTTCTATCAAATTCCTAAATGACAAAATTTGTGAAGCCTGCATCAAAGGAAAGCATGTTCGATCATCATTTAAATCAAAGAAAATGTTTGATGAATTTTGCAGAGAACAGGGAATAAGTCACAATTTCTCAGCGCCAAGAACACCACAACAAAATGGTGTGGTTGAGAGGAAGAACCGAACATTGGAAGACATGGCAAGAACAATGCTAATAGCAAGTGGGCTTCCAAGAAATTTTTGGGCAGAAGCCGTCAACACAGCATGCTATATCGTCAACCGAGCCATGCTCAGACCAATGTTGGACAAGACACCTTATGAACTGTTAAAAGGGAGAAAACCTAATATTGCTCATTTAAGAGCTTTTGGATGCAAATGTTTTGTTCACAATAATGATAAAAGAAATCTTGGAAAATTTGATGAAAGGAGTGATGAAGCAGTCTTTTTAGGATATGCATCTAATAGTAAAGCTTATAGAGTTTACAATAAGAGGACTATGTGTGTAGAAGAAAGTATACATGTGATTTTTGATGAAACTAATAATTATGGTTGTATACAGGAATATGAAGATGGAGATTTTGAAATTGGTCTCACTCGTTCAACAGACCAAGATGAAGAATTAATTCCCAGAAAGCAGCATGTTCGAATTACTGAAAATACTAATAAGGAACCTACTGAAGTTCCAAATAATACTGAAGCCTCTGATCAAAATACAGAAGAAACAGAAAATACAGAAGGCGAAGCAAATGCAGAAGCAGAACACCATGAAGAAATGGAAGAAAGAGCAACTCAAAATAACACTTTTATACCAGCTCAATCATTCCAACCAAAGCCATGGAAACATCAAAGGTCACACCCCCTGGATAAAATTATAAGTGACCTAAGCAAGGGAACTCAGACGAGATCCCAACTGAGAAACTTCTGTGCATTCAACGCCTTCTTATCAACACTGGAACCTCGAAATCACAAAGAAGCCTTGGAAGATGCTGATTGGATTGTTGCCATGCAAGAGGAATTAAATGAATTCGAAAGAAACAAAGTGTGGCACCTTGAACCCAAACCAACAAATCAAAAGGTTATTGGTCTCAAATGGGTATACAGGAATAAGCTAGATGAACATGGCACAATTGTAAGGAACAAGGCAAGATTAGTTGTTAAAGGCTACAATCAGCAGGAAGGTATCGATTTTGAGGAGACTTTTGCTCCTGTAGCTAGATTAGAAGCAATTCGTATTTTAATTGCATTTGCTGCATTTATGGGTTTTAAACTTTATCAAATGGACGTCAAATGTGCTTTTTTAAATGGTTTTTTAAAGGAAGACGTCTATGTTGAACAACCACCTGGATTTGAGGATCCAAACTTTCCTAACCATATTTTTAAACTTGATAAAGCACTGTATGGATTAAAACAAGCTCCAAGAGCATGGTATGAAAGACTTTCAAAATTCCTTTTACAAAATGATTTTAAAAGAGGAAAAGTTGACAAAACTTTGTTCTTAAAATCAAAAGGAACTCATTTATTAATTGTACAAATTTATGTTGATGATATTATTTTTGGTGCAACTAATGAATCCTTGTGCAAATACTTTGCTGAT